AATATATATATATATTTATGTATATATATATATGGCTAAATTGACTCACGCATGCATGGTACATATAAAGCTCTCACTGACACCAATCGCACGCATGTGTTTTCATCTGTCATTGTCAATCGTGAATTTGGTTGACACTTCTATTATAGAGAAAAGGCAAATAGCGATACTAAAATACTTCTAATTAATTTCCTTTCAATGTGCACGAATCTGTGCACTGGGCCTCTAGGAGTAATTAAAGGCCACTGCAGCACCAACACTGCCAGCAAAGCAAAGCTACGCTACACAAGCTAATAAAGAATCCAGGAGCTTTTACATTCTGATTCCACTAGGAGACTGCACCAGTCTGATGAAGCTCATTTGCTCAATAAACAAAGAATCAAACACAACGAAACGCCGTAAGAGCCAGTAGCAGCTCAAGAATTTGCAATGTCAGAAACTCAGCAAATTCTGGTATATTGGGCTCTTGGTTGCAGATTAAAATAGAAGATGTCAATAAAATATATTTTAAAAAAAGATAAAATAGAAGATGTCAAGTTTGTTTCATTTAAGTTACATAGGTGTTGATTTGCCAAGTTGGAGGTCTGCTGGTGTACCCTGTGGAAGGGCTTGTTGAGCTGTTACACTCCCAGCTACAGTTGAAGGCCAGTTGCAGGAGGGCTGGTTGTTGGAGGAGGCAATCAGAGCCTGAGACTGGAAACTCAATAAAGGCTGAACACAAACACTTCATATAACATAATGATACGGAAAATTGGACTGGAACGTGCGGTGTTCCCCTGGGTAGGATGATTTCCTGGGCTCTTTGTCCGGTGGAGTCAAAGAATGAAACCACAGACGGAAGATGGTATAGCCAAGGTGGAAATTTATTGAGAAACAAGCAGAGACTCCCACGTGGGAAGGGGGAAAGAGTCCCAGTGAGTCCCTTTTTCCCACGGTCTATAAAGGCTGCAGACCTTTGTGCCTTGATATCCCCTCTGATTGGTTACTATCCGCTTCTGATTTGGTCACTATAGTAACTCCTGAGCTCAAAGGTCAACCTCACATGGGACACATAAGGCTCTCCTCCCCGCCTCCCTCATTGTTTTCCTATCCCCTCTGGGCTTTCTTCTTCTCTTTTTGAATGAGAGGCTTCCTTCCCTTTATTCTGTAAATGTATACCTTTCTGCAGCTCCCAGCCCCCTTATTCTATGGAAATGTACCTTCTGCTATTCTATAGCTCTGTGCTTTTTCTTTCTTCCTTTTTTTAAAAAAATGTATTTTATTGATTTTTTTTAACAAAGAGGAAGGGAGAGGAATAGAGAGTTAGAAACATCAATGAGAGAGAAACACTGATCAGCTGCCTCCTGCACATCCCCTACTGGGGTGTGCCTGCAACCAAGGTACATGCCCTTGACCGAAATCGAACCTGGGACCCTTCAGTCTGCAGGCCGACGCTTTATCCACTGAGCCAAACCAGTTAGAGCAGCCCTGTGCTTTTTCTATGGACCCCTCAATTTCCCAAAATTTCCTAAACCTGTCTATTTCACCCCTAAAAACTCCTTTCAACAACATGTATACACCACTCAAATTCAATTTTTAGAAAACACTGTTAGTCAAACTTAGGACAACAAGATTGGTTTATAATCGGTATGAGGAAAGTGATGATGAAATTAATTGTAACATTAATTGTCTGTCACAAGGGAATGGTGCCTGTCATTACTGAAACAAATGGGAATTGGGGAGGAAGCACTTATTAGTCAAGACTGCCCTGGAGAGAGTGTGCTCAGATTCTTAGCAATCTCTCTGGTCCTTGTGGGGTAGGTAAAGGATGTGGCGTCAGAGGGTCTGGATTCCAAAGGAGTCTATGACCTTGGGAGAATGATTTAATCTCTCTGTGGCTCTGTTTTCTTTT